CGAGCCTAATAGGTGCGGCTTAAATTCGCATGTTAACGCTTTTTCGGCTCCAAAACTGGGGTGCGGCTTATATTCGGGTGCGGCTTGAATTCGCATGTATACGACTGGAACAGTGGAGAAAATCTAGAGGCACCAGGCCGTGAGTTAGCGAGGAGCTGCACTCACTCTTCCCTCCTGCTGTCTGGATCAGCTCCGGTTGTGCACCACAGGTGTGTGTGTTTCGTTCGGTACAAGTTTTAAAAATAACTAGTAGTTTGATGAAAACTGACGAAATTACATTTCCAGAAAAAGCTCCCATTTAACTTCTTTGGAAGTGCAGTAAGGGTTGCTGATGAAACTAAGGGTGCTAGCTCCATTTTGTTCAAAGTAATGGAAGAAAGAGAGAAAATAAAGAACTTTCCTGAATGTCTTCCTTTAATTCATTTTTCAGTGAACACAAAGCTTTCGCCAAGTCTTACAGCACAAAGATTAAGCTAGCACATCACATGTTTTTACTTTTTAAAAAATTGGAGTCTAGTAGGAAGTATTGAACACACATGTATGCCTACCTCCTGCCATGGTAGTTGTACAGAGGTATGAAAGCTCAATCTTTGTATAAAAATATATATTACAAATACCTATTTACGTCCCATCATAATGGAAACTATCTTGGTGATTCAATGAATAAAGTTCCATCTCTATTTCCTGAATCAGTCCATGGACAGATCTACCAGATAAGCATAATTTATGATGCCGTATGAATGGTACTGGTTTGTATGTACAGGTCAATTCCAACATTTAACTATTGACACTGAAATTAGAGATGAAACTGTATCCTACAAAATATTCTTACATTAGAAATTCATACATACTCTAAATTAGTTACAACTTATAAGTCCTTTTAACCCAATATACTTTAAAAGATTGACATGGGCAAGTTTCCACAATGATATCTTTTAAGTCACAAGACAACTTTTTTTATACTAAGGAAAAAAAATTCTATAGGTTTCAAAGTTGGCTTTATCACTAATACCATCTTGACAAAAGAGAACATTCAAGATGGTAACTTATGATGTTTTAGCTTTAATATCACAATATCAAATAGTACCAAGATACAGTCACCCAGTGATGGAGCATGGCTAATAATGCGGAAGAATTTCCCCTCTACATCCCACGCCACTCAGATTATCCATGAATGGGAATGCTGCACTTTCAGTCATAATTCAGTGCAAATTTCACAAGTACAAAGTATGCCAATTTTTTTTTTTTTTTAAAAGGATCATTTGGTTGCCAGGTTCTTTGGAAAACTTTCATTCCAGTCTCCACCCTACAACAAGTTGAGGAGGAAACAATCTGTTCTTCCTCACATTAAAACTGCGATATAATAAATAACCATTCTGCTTTCTCACTTTGTGTCTTATCAGGGAGAAGAACATGAAAGGGTAGATGCTAAAAGAAAAGAAAGAATGAGAAATAAGTGTAACTTGCACAAACCTATCATATGCCCCCCCTCCAAAAAAAACAACAAAAAAACAGTACACAGTGGTTTTTAGCATGCACACAAACAACATAATACCACACCGACGAGCACTTTTAAAATAAGTAACTTGATATTCTAATAAAAAGTTTCTTTGACATATTGAACAATATCATTCTTTTAGAGGATAGGCCACTATATTTAAAATTGAATGTTAAATATGGTATTGAAAATCCTGAAATAGCTGTTTCCATTAACCACTCTGCAGTTAGTGAAAAGTAATCCACTAACACAAGTGAAGAAACTAGATGAGAATTTCCAGTAAACACTTTACAAGATCTTTAAGGGATTTTAATATCCCTCTCGATAGAAAATGTCCACTACCAACTTAAGCAACACTTCATATGCCAAAATAGTCTTTGCAGAAAAAATGTGCATTTGAAGACAACTTCACAAACATATGCAAATCGACAAACCAATTCCTTAAACCAAACTAAAGGAAATAGACAGGCTAACATTTGAGCAAAACATAGTCATGCTAACTGAAGATAACAGAATGTCAGGAATAGATCAGGAGAATAAATGTAATGAGACCAAGGCTGACTTAGTAATGTCATTAGAAACAATTTCTACAAACTTGGCACTCGGCAACCTTCATAATTAATGTAGTTATTACTGTATTATTCTGAAGCTCTTTCTCAGTATAGGAATCTCAAAATGAGAAAACAAAATAATTTAAGAACTAGGGCTACTGTCACCTGTCAACAAAATTTTTACTTTCAACAAAAATTTACATCTATGACACAAGTTTATGCTTCATCAGCAATTATCAGAACAATGCTACTCACTTATAAAGATACATTATTAATTAATTAAACAAAGCCAAAATTCTTGGTTTTGATAGCAAGAAGTAGCTTTGAACGTAAAATCTGTCGGCTACTATATAATGGGACATACAGTCGGGAAATGCATGGGAGGGGGCGAGTCGGTTCTGACAGCAAAACAGCGAAACGTAACACAAAGGACTGCATATGAATGACCCTTGCGACCGAGTCGCGTTGACCATTCATCTGCTACCTCGGCTCTACGAGCCTAATAGGTGCGGCTTAAATTCGCATGTTAACGCTTTTTCGGCTCCAAAACTGGGGTGCGGCTTATATTCGGGTGCGGCTTGAATTCGCA